AGATTATACCCAGGCTAAGATAAATCCCTGTATCTCTCTTCTTCTCTGGAGGTTTTTGTGCTTTCTCTTTTTCTCGCCTCTCTCTTATCTCCCTGCACTTCCACCAATACTGTCTGCATTATCTACTAGTCATAGAGGCGAATGCGTTCCTGTTCTCTGCTGATACCATCCCCACTGACATTTCAGGGAAGAGATAGGCTGTGGTACTGGAGCAGAAGTGGTAACTCCAGGGGCTAACCTTCTTTCTTTAGGGATCCCAGAGCTGGGAGAGGCTCCCTAGGACACCCTACACCAGATGGCTTTGAGTGTCCTCCTCCTTTGTCCAGACTGAGAGCCCTGGGGGTCCCCCAATCCTCTTCATCTCCATCTCTCTCAATGATATCTTTTTATTAACCCCCTGCTCATTCTCTCCACCATAGAATGTCAGCTTACCAACCAGGAGCCATTAGTGTGTGACTTGTTTTTAAACTCTGACATGCCCAGCCCAACTTGCAAGAAATGTGGTCTTTATGCCGCTCGCATAGGATACCTTTTAGCGTCTTCAAACCAAACACTTGAGAGGCTGCACAGCACAGTGACTGAGTAAGAACTCTGGAGCCAGATGGCCTGGGTTCAAATCCCAACTCTTTCATCAGCTACTGCTGTAAACTTGGGGATAGTAATGTCCCTACATCTCGGTTTTCTGTCTGTTTTTTTTGTTGTTTGTTTAAATTGTGCCCCTGGTGTCATTTTTTCTTGTGTTTTTTTTTTTTTAAATAACCCACCGAATTCTCACATCTTTTTGTTGTTGTTGTTGTTTTGTTTTTTGCGGTACGTGGCCCTGTCACTGTTGTGGCCTCTCCCGTTGCGGAGCACAGGCTCTGGACACACAGGCCCAGCAGCCATGGCTCACGGGCCCAGCCGCTCCGCGGCATGTGGGATCCTCCCAGACCGGGGCACGAACCCGCGTCCCCTGCATCAGCAGGTGGACTCTCAACCACTGAGCCACCAGGGAAGCCCCTTTCCGTCTGTTTTTACCAGAATGATGATGATGGTTGTGGTAGTGGTGGTGGTAGTATCTCTCTTTACAGAATAATTGGGAGACTGAGTGAGTTAAAATTTTTACAAATGTTTAAAATGGTGTCTGGCATTCAATAAACATGAGCTATATTTTTCTATATGTCCCATGGGAAATGCATCTCAAATGAAATTAATCTCTATTGTCTTCTAAGGATACGTTCCAGTAGATAAGAGGGAAGGGGAGAAGCTCCAAATGACTATGAAATAGAAAAAGGATTTCAAAAAGTTCCATAGAAAAGAGGAGAAACTAACAACGTTAGGCGAACCTATGCGCTGAGTCGTGCTTTCACTTACTGCACAGGACGTGGTATTTACAGCTGTGCTCTGGAGAGACAGGGAAGGTTTAGAAGCTTCATTTTACAGATGAGCAGGGAAACCGTTTGCTATGGGTCTCTCAACTAGTAAAGGGACATTCTGAGGTTGGAATAATGGTTTTCTGCCCAATACCCAGAGTGCAATTCGATATGTTGTCTCTTGGTTAAAGCAAGCACATGAGAAATAAACAACCAAAAATCCAGTTCAACATAAAGCACTTCTGAGTTGAATACAATTCACTCCTCTTCCCTCTGTCTTTTCAACTGCTCCAGTTCAAGTTTCCAGGAATATCCACAGGAGAAGGGCATTGATTTGCCAGAGTTGGGTAACAGTAATGGACTATATTAAAAGTGGCTTTGGTGAAGACAGCCACGGGAAGCCTGCAGCGGACACGGGAGAATTCTATTTTCCTTCTGAAGAGGGCAGTATGCAACCAAGGCCAGGTCTGCTCACGTACTCAGGGTTTCCTTCCAGGTTTTGAATGCTGGAGGCAGTGCAGCCCTCAGAAGTGCAGGCATCTTGGGTTTCCAAGAGCTTATTTCTGAAAGACAAACACATCTTCAGACATGAAATAGGATTCTTGAGGTTTGAGCACAGTTACACACTGCCTCGCATCCAAGGGTACCTAGTGCAAACTGATACGAAGGAGGTCATGCAAGATGGCTGGAAGAAACCCCAATGAGTTCTTTTTCCATGTTCTTGCACTTGTCTGCCCCCCAAATTGGCCTCTATGACATTAAACAATAGCACAGCATCCCAGATGGTCTCTGATGTTTGCAGAAGAAAGCGTTTCTTTTTCAACTAAGACCTGTGTTCGCAGTAGTTTCTGCTGCCTAAAGCAAAATACCTTCTTGCAAATATCCTCTGCACAGAAATAAAATGTTGGGAATGGGGATCTTAGCTCCTGGTATGCATTTATCAAGCCAATCACAATAATTATAATTAGAACACAAAGTAAGCGAAAGCTTAGCATGAAATACATTTGCAGAAAACCTGAACTGCATACAATGAAGCCCTGCCTGGTGGCATGTTGAGGTTTGCCATTAATATATTTTGGGGGTGAGGGAGATTGCTTTTTTTCTTAAATAAATTTGGCTAGTTACATCAAGGCTTCAATGGCAGTTAAGAAGGAGAAAGAAAGATACACATCATTAACTGCTGTAACAGAGCTGTCAGATGGATGTCCAAGACACTGGCTCTTTAAGACACCCTCTCAAACATGTTCACTGGGCATTAATTTAATCAAGCTCTGTTTTAGGGAAATGAAGAAGAGAATTGACAATCTGGGGAGAATAATATAACTTCAATTCCTAGCCTCAGTTCTGGGAATACACTAAGCTAACAGGGTACAAAATCCCTCCATGTTTCCCCATTGTCCAAAAAAGAAAATCCATTCCCTTCATTCAGGTGTCACCTCTTTGATTGATAAAGTCCTTACCATTTTCTCCTCCCATAAACATGGGCTCTCTCAGCCGTTACAACACTTATCATACTGGTTTTTACCTTAATTTATGTGGTCTTTCTCCCCTGCTAGACTAACTTCCTTGAGGTAAGAGATTTCATTTTTTTAATTGGGGTCTCCAACACTCAGCGTAAGATCCAGGACAGAACAGGTGATTGGAAAATGGTGAATGCAGAGTGATCAAATAAGTAAATGAATGAATGAGTGCTCCATCCTTCTGAGTCCAGCTCAAACCTACTCCTTCAGGTGACACCCCATCTCTCCCTCTCCCAGATAGAAGTCAGGTGGTTCTAGAATGGCAATTCCAGAATATTTGTAG